TTCTCCCCAAATGGCCATAACAGCCTGGGCTGGACCAAGCTGAAGCCTGGAGCCAGGAGCTTCATCCGGGACTCCCACTTGGGTGGCAGGGGCCCAGGCACTAGGACCATTTTCTGCTGCTTTTCCAGGCGCATTAGCAGGGAGCTGGATTGGAAATGGAACAGCTGGGACTGGAACTGGTGCCCATGTGGGATGCCAGGGTAGCGGGCGACAGCTTAACTCACTGCACCACAGCACCAGCCCATCCTAAGAAGCATTTTCATGCACCTTTGAAGCCCCCTCATCAGCTAGCTCTGGCTTTCCCTAACTTAACATCGTCCACATCCACGGTACATTTGTCAAACCCAAACAACAAACATTGGTTCAGTCTACTAACCTTAGGCTTGTGGGGGATTTCCTCGGTTTCCTAGCATCGTTTTACGACCCCAGAGTCCAGTCCAGGCCACCCAGCATTGCTCAGGCTCTGTACGGTCACAGTCCACTCCGGGCTCCAAGTGTTTTTCAGTCCTGATCGGCATGGCTTCGAGGCACTGAAGGGCACCGCTCAGAGGTTTTGTTAGCCATCCCTCGCCTGGCTTCTACAATGCTTTCCCCTGTGCAGTTGGGACTGTGGTCTGGGGAAGTGAAAGCAGAGACCATGCATCAGGAGTGTTGACACACTCACCCCTGTGAGGATGACCCTGAGGCTCACCCGGCTCAGGTGCAGCCAGTGGGGCTCGCGACCATATCGTCACCCCTTTTCCCTTCCTATAGTCTGTGGATTCCCCGGCTAGTGGGGGAAGGGAATTAAACTCATTTCCTGGAGGGGGATTATCTGCATGGATTATTTGGAATTCTTCTGTGGTGAGATTTGTTCCTTCTCCCTATCTATTTATTTATCCTCTCTTGTGTTTACATCAGGATGTACTCGTAGATATTTATTTGATTGTCTGTGTAATAACCTAAGACTATAGTTATTTATTTTGCTGCTCAAATTGTCTCATCTTTGGCCATTGGGAGTCCTTTTAGTCTGGCTCTTCTGTCCCTTTGATGTGTTCAACCATCCACTGTTATCCCTAGCCTTTTGTTTAATCTTATTTTCTCACACTGACCAGACGACCAGACTCTTTTTGCATTTTGTCATCCCAGTCCTAAAATCAGCCGACTTTCTATCCAGTCCTGGTTCCTTTACTTTGGATAATGGTACGCAAAACCAGATATGGCTGCTAGATAAACTCACTGCTCCCGGGGTGTCTCTCTTTCTGTGTTCTCTCAGTAGATAGTCAAGAAATAAATCTATATATACTATTTATTTATTTGAAAGTCAAAGTAACACACACACACACACACACATAGAAAGAGAGAGAGGTCTTCTGTCCACTGGTTCACTCTTCAGTTGGCCGCAATGGCCTGAGCTGTGCTGACCTGAAGCCAGGAGCCAAGAGCCTCTTTCGGGTCTCCCAGGTGGGTGCAGGGGCCCAAGGACTTGGTCCATCTTTTACTGCTTTCCTAGGCCATAGCAGAGAGCTGGATTGGAAGTGGAGCACCTGGGACACAAACCTGTGCCCATATGGGATGCTGGCACTGCAGGCAGCAGCTTTACCCGCTATGCCACAACGCCATCTCCAAATACATGTATCCTAACCCAGGTACAGACACATGCTATCTCGATTCATTTTAATATACAGATAGGTAGATAGATGATAAATAGGCAGGAAGATTGACAATAGATAGATGGTAGATAGATAGATAGATAGATAATAGAGAGAAAGATAATAAGTAGGTTGATTATAGATAGGTAGGCAGCTAGATGATAGTAGAGATAGATGATAGAGATATGAAAGATACTAAAGATAATAAATAGGTAATGGGTTATAGATAAATAAATGGTAGATGACTGATAGATGATAGAAAATAGAGATAGATAGATAGGTAGGTAGGTAGGTAGATAGATAGATAGATAGATAGACAGCTTTGGGTTATTTGTAACATCTTTATCAGACAGCGTGAAACCCGGCTCCCTTAACCCTAGTTTACATGTCAAGTATTTTTTTTTTCTGAATTGCTTACCCTCACCCCTATGGGAAACAAATTTACCAAGGAGAGCACATTGCTTATGCAGACACCGTTTTGTTTATAACTTAAACCATCCGTACCGGGCTTCATCTTCCAAAGCAACCTGTGCGGGCCACCCTCTTCCCACCCTCCCTGGTGGCATTGTGTCCACATCTGGAAAACAGCCAAGTCTTTTGGTGACAGATGGAATTACATTCTGAGAGTCCCCAACAGCCTGTTTGATTCTCTAAGGTTTGCATGGTCTTTGGGGGGCAGACGGGCCTACCGGCTTTGGCAAACTCACGGGGTCGTGTACCCACTAGCTCAGCACCATAGCAGCCAGTTCCATTGACCTAAAGTTTCCCTTGGTTGATTTTCCTGCAGGTTAACCCCCTCCCCAAACCTCCGCAACCACAGATCTGCTTTCCATGGCCATAGCGTTTCCATACCCTCATACAAATGGAGTTGCAAAACACGCGTCTTGAGGGCCTGGCTTCTTTTACTTAACAAATAGTATTGAAGAGTCCTTCATGTCAGAAGGATCAATAGCTCATTCCTCTGATTCCTGGGTATCCTATTGCTAGGAGACGCCACCATTTTTAATACAGTCCCCTGTTGGAGAACATCTTTGTTGACTCCAAGATGTTTGTAGTGATTTTGCAAACAGCACCGGCTGACTTCTCCTTGTGTGACCAGGAACTCTCGATGCTCCTGCAGAAGTAGGAAGGAGTGGGAGTGCTGGTTTGGATGGTGCACCTGCGTCTAACTCTAGGGAGGGGCCGGATCGTCTTTTCCAAAGCGGTGGGACCATTGTGCCTCCTCACCGGTGATGAACGAGGCTTTTTGCCGCTCTGCATCTCTGCCATCCTTTGACGATGTTTGGTGGTTCTGATTGGGGTGAACCGCTGTCTGGTTGTCTGTCCCTTCCCTAGCGACAAGTGATGCCGACATCTCCACATACGTGTGGTTGCCATCTGTGTCTCTTCTCTGATGTCCTGTCTGTTCAGGTGCTCAGGTGGAAAGTTGGGCACGAGCACCTGGGGGGAAGGGCCATGAGACCCTCCTCTGGGGGAGGGACCAGGGACCCTGCTCTCCACCAGGGCCCACTCAGGACCTCCCACTTCATGGTGTAGTTTGTGGTTCACTTGTTCTTATAAAATAGAAACCCAGTCAAACTGGGAAAGTCTAGTTTATGGCACATGGGCCAGGAGAGCTGTTTTTTTTTTTTTTTTTAAGATTTTATATATTTGAAAGTCAGAGTAGAGAGACAGAGAGAGGGAGGGGCAGAGAGAGAGAGAGAGAAAGAGAGAGAGAGAGATCTGCCATCCGCTGGTTCACTCCCCAGATGGCTGTAACCTAAGCCAAAGCCAGGAGCTTCTTCTGGGTCTCTAACATGCAGGTGGTAGGGGCCCAGGCACTTGGGCCATCTCTTGCTGGTTTTCCCAAGCCATTAGCAGGGAGCTGGATTGGAAGCAGGGCAGCCGGGACTTGAACAGGCACCCATATGGGATGCTGGCATTGAAGGGAGTGGGCTTTATCCGCTAGGCCCCAACTCCAGCCTGGAGATTGAGCCTGAGATTGGAGCAATGCTGCTTCATTACACGATCATTATAACCTAATTAGCATTGTGGTTTTGCCCCCTTCCCCACCCCTCGGGGGCCTCCTCAATGCACACTGGGAAGCCATGCAGGCACAGACCACCACCAGGCAAGCAACTCCCAGGCGTCAATTAGAAATGCCAATCAAGAGCATCATGGCCATGTCACCAGTCAGCACCCTTAGACTTTAGGGATAAAAGCCCTAAGCTAGGAAGAAAGGGGGCCATCTTCTCTCTCGAAGGCCCGCTTCTCTTTTGGAGTGACTTTTTCACTTTGCTTTGTCATCCATATTACTGTCTCACTGAACTGTGAGATTCACTGCTCCTTTGGTGAAAAGAATCATGGCAAACCGGCTGCTGTTGACGACAAGGTGGCTTCCCCAGTTTTAATTAGGTAGTGTGTTTTCTTATTGTTGACCGTTGAGAGCTCTTTATATATTCTGGCTACAAGGCTTTTCTTTTTTTTTCAATCAGACACATGATTAGGCAATATTTCTCCTAATCTGTGGCTTGTCTTTTCAACCTCCTAACGGTGTCTTTTGAAACTCAAGCGTTCTTAACTTTGATCACGTCCAATTAACTAATCTTTCCTTTTCTTTCATGAATTATGGTTTTGGTGTTGGATCTAAAACATTATCACCAGGGGTAGGCATTTGGCTCAGTGGTTAAGATCCTGTTTGGGACACCCACATCCAACTCAGAGTGTCTGGGTTCAAGATAGCTTCCTGCTAATGCAATCTGGAAGGCAGTCGGTGATGGCTTAACTGTGTGGGTCCCTGACACCCATGGGAGAGATTCAGGTTGAATTTCTGGCTCCCACCTTTGGCCTGGGCCATCCCTGGCCACTATGGTCATCCGGGGAGTAAAACTTCAAGTGAAACATCCATCTCTCCCCCTCTCTCTCTCTCCCTCTCTCCCTCTCTCCTCTCTCCCTCCCTCTCTCTAACTCTGCCTTTCAAATAAATAAATAAATGTTTTAAAACCAATGTAATGACAGCAAAGGAGGTTTGTGCTGTTCATGAAAACCTTTCAATGCTAGTTTCCCCTCTACCTTGCTCTTTTCCAAGTTCAAGTTCTGTGGACATTTATCATTTGGCATGTGGGTGTGGGGTGTGTGGGGTTGCGATTGGCAACTTCATCGACACTTACTGCCGGTACCTGGCTACCTTTCCTGACTGAGGGGACTTTGATGCAGTTAGGAGGCTGCTGCCTTGGAGAGGAGCCCTCGCTCGGTGGCGTTGTGGAGGAAGGAGGGCTCGTGATGGGGAAAAAAGAAGAGAGAGAGGAGTAGGGAGGCCCAGTGTGACCATCTGTCCCGGAACATGGGGGCGCAGCGTGTCAACAGAGTTCTAGAATCTCTGGGCAGCTGGCAACAAAGGCGATAAGAATTCTTCTTTGTCCGAGGCTCCGAGGAAAGGCTGTGAGGGAGGGAGACCCTACTGATTTCTCCGTGGTGCCTTGTGAGGATCAGCCATGCCATCAGTGGGTGCAGGAGACTCCTGGGAGCTGCTCGCCACCGACTGAGTAAGTAGCCCGTGCCCTTGCCCCGGAGTCCCCTGAGAAACCAGCTTCTGCCGCTGCACCGGGATCTGTCTTTTCGCTAAGACCTCAGTTACTCCGAGGGAAGCAGCATCCCAAAGACCCAGCAGTGCCACCCCCTCGACCCTCACAGAGTCTTCTGGAACTTTCTGGGGGGGGCTGCTAGCACTGAGGGGTTGTCTTTGGATTTGTTTGCAACCATAAAGTTCTCAGGGCACGGAAACCAACTTTCTTTGTGAGCTCTGGGTCTTCTTATTTATGTGTTTGAAAGGCAGAGAGAGGCAGAAGCAGACACAGAAAGAGAGACGTCCCATTTGCCGGTTCACACCTCCAGGTGCCCACAGCAGCCAGGGCTGGGCCAGGCCAAAGACACGAGCCAGAACACAATCTGGGTCTCTTGTACGGGCGGTCAGGACTCAACGTGCCTGAGCTGTCATCCGCCACCTTCCAGGAAGCTGGAAGTGGAAGCACCAAACCCAGGTGCTCCAACAGAGGATGCAGGTGTCCCAGGCAGTGTCGTGGGAACGCTGCCTCCTGGTCTTCGTTTGAAACTTCGCTGGCCCGCCTCTGTGTGCCCAGCACTCTTTTTTGTTTTTTTTTTCTCTAAAGGACCAGGTACTAACTATTTTAGGCTTTTTGCAAAACGCACGTAGCTGGTGGCTCGGTTACATCAAGCTCCTGCTGTCATCACCAGCCTTACTGACCTTGAGTCGTCGTCTTCAGCCCAGCCCACTCTGGTTCAAGTTCAACCCCAGCCGCAAGTGCAGCAGCTGGAGGCTCTGCCAGGCAGGTGCAGCACGTGACACTGGAAACACACAGAGCTGGCAAGTGCAGATCCTGTGCGGTTATCAGAAATTTCTTCTTCCTTTCCCAACACAGTGGGGCTGCTGAAGAGAGCGCTGCAGGGGCCGGCGCTATGGCGTAGTAGGCTAAGCCTCTGCCTGCAGGGCCAGCATCCCACATGGGCGCCGGTTTGAGTCCTGGCTGCTCCACTTCCAATCCAGGTCTCTGCTATGGCCTGGGAAAGCAGTGGAAGATGGCCCAAGTCCTTGGACCCCTGCACCCATGTGGGAGTCCCGGAAGAAGCTCCTGGCTCCTGGATTTGGATCAGCTCAGCTCTGGCCATTGCAGCCGTCTGGGGAGTGAAGCAGCAGATGGAAGACCTCTCTCTCTCTCTCTCTCTCTCTCTCTGCCTCTCCTTCTCTCTCTGTGTAACTCAGACTTTCAAGTAAAAAATAAATAAATCTTAAAAAAGAAGATATCTCTCTCTGTATCTTATTGTTCTGCCTTTCAAATAAAAATAAAAAAATAAATAAATAAGCCTGCTTTAAGAAAAATGGGAGAATGAAAGAGAGGTCCTTAATATTCTCCTTTCAATAAGCTTCAGATGACTGTTTTTTTTTTTAATTGATTGATTTAAAAGGCAGAGCTACAGAAAAAAAAAAAAGAGAGACAGAAAGATCTTCCATCTACTGGTTCGTTCTACAAATGGCCACCACAGTCATGGCTCAGCTGCACTTGACAGAAGCCAGGAGCTTGGAGTTTACTCCAGGTCTCCCACGTGGGTGCAGGGGCCCAAGCACTTGGGCCATCTTCTACTGCTTTTCCAGGCGATAGCAGAGAGCTGGATCGGAAGTGGAGCAGCCGGGACTCGAACTGGCTCCCATATGAGATGCTGGCACTGCAGGTGGCAGCTTTACCCACTATACCACAGTGCCAACCCCAACCCAAACACCAAGTCCTGAAGTTGCCTGCGTAGGCCCAGGTGTGTGTCAGCGCTGGCTGCCATGAGCTGTCTGTCTAGACACCGACAGAATGCCCCCACCCACCCCATGTTTCATTGTGTTAAATGTTTTCCATTTGTAGAAATACTCTGTCATTTCTACCTGGATGTCCACAAAGGAGGGTTCACCAACTAACATTTCAATTAAATTTAATCAATAATTAGATTTTTGCTTACATTTTTTATTAATTAAAATTTTAATTAATTAAATTTTTAAACATTTTAAAATAAAATACAAAAGGTGAAGCATTCCCTCAGTCTACAGCCAGGGCTGTGCTGTGCTCTGTGGAAGGCACTCAGCAAAGAGTGGCCAGACTGACTCCCTCCCTGCCCTGCGTTCTGCCTGGATTTTCTCTGGTTTTCCCTGGTGGCTCCCCTTGGCTCTTGGGTGGAGCCACCCCAGCTGCTGCTCTCAGATTTTTCTTTTACTTACTTGAAAGGCAGAGTTACAGAGAGAGAGAGCAAGAGAGAGAGAGAGAGAGAGAGACTGCGAGATCTTCCATCTGCTGGTTCATTCCCCAGATGGCTGCAGCAGCCGGAGCTGGGCCTATCGGAAGCCAGGAGCCAGGAGCTTCTTCTGGGTCTCCCACGCAGGTGCAGGGGCCCAAGGACTTGGGCCATTTTCTACTTTCCCAGGCCACAGCAGAGAGCTGGATCAGAAGTGGAGCAGCCGGGACACAAACCGGTGCCCATATGGGATGCCGGCATCGCAGGTGTTGGCCTAATCACTGCCAGCTCCCGTTGTCAGATTTGAAGTTCCTGCAGGTGACAAACACGCCCTTGGGCTGCAACAAGATCCTCTGACCCCGGCTCCTGATCTCTTCCAGGTTCGGTTCTGATGGGTCTCAGAATGAGGGCTGCTGCCATCCTGGCCCTGGTCGGCTGCCTGGCCACCGTCACTGAATCCAAAGTCTACACTCGCTGTAAACTGGCAAAAATATTTTCAAGGGCCGGCCTGGACAATTACGAGGGCTTTAGCCTTGGAAACTGTGAGATTTCTTCCTGCTCCCTTGCATCCTTGGCTTCCCTGGGGAGGTGCCAAAGGTCCCATCCACACCCGCATCTTCATGGTCCCAACTTTCCCACACTCTGTCTCCACCTGGGGTGGCTGGTGGGGCTTCGCACATCTTCAGCTGCTGCTCTCTGCTCCCTGCTTCTTCCCTGCTCATTCCTGGAGCGCTGGAGTCATGCTAGCGAAGGAACCAGGAGACGAGGCTGCACCTGCTGGCATTGTGGGGGGATGACCTGACATCTAGTCTAGATGAGTATCTGCCTTTGACAAAGTGTGCAGGCCCAGGTGTGCCATTCCCGCCCCTCACAGGCCCTTCCTATGCCTCGTGGGTGCAACCATCTGCCCGTGCCCACGGTCTGCCTGGAGGAGGCGATGTGGGACCATGTAGAAGGCTGAGACGAAGCCGGGCACTTTGGCCGGGCTTTCTGTCTCCCCAGGGATCTGCATGGCGTACTACGAAAGCCACTACAACACCACGGCTCAGACCGTCCTGGAGGATGGGAGCATTGACTACGGCATTTTCCAGATAAACAGTTTCACGTGGTGCAGACGTGCGAAGACGCAGGAGAAGAACCATTGCCACGTTGCCTGCTCAGGTACTGTTTTGGTTTGTCCAAAAACAGCATCCCTGGGGACAAAGGCCAGAAAACTGGTGAGGGGATATCCACCTGTGGTCAGCTTTAAACTACGAGTTAGAGTTGAGAATTCCAAGTACGTCTTTTCCAGGCCAGTCAATGTTTACCAGTTCTCCCAGGTGACGTGTTTGTCTGAAGGTGTTTTTTTTTCCTACTAGGGTAGTTTTTTAAGCTCTCTGTGCAACCAGGGGCAATGCACCAATTCTGTCGTATACAGAGACATCTGATCTTGTCAATAGCAAGCCCAAAGCTGCTTGCTCTCTGAGAGCACCCAAAGGATACACTCTGTGCAAAATGAGACAGAGACATGCACCTTGGGTTTCTTAAACAGCAGCGATTAAACCAGCACTCAATTCCAAGTCTCCTGCTCCAGTCATTCAAGGAATACAGGTGTGCGTGAGGCCCCCTAAGCCACCCCCTGCACCGCCGGCCTTCCATTTAGGTGCCAGTTCCAGTCCCGGCTGCTCCACTTCTGATCCAGCTCCCTGCTACTGCACCTGGGAAGGCAGTGGAGGGTGGCCCGAGTTCTTGGGCCCCTGCAACCTACCTGGGACAGCTGGATGGAGTTCTGAGTTCTGGCCCCCAGCCGGCATGTAGCAAACAGGGACCTCAGCCCTACGCCAGCAAGGAGCTGAGATGGCCCAGAACCCAAGTGAGCAAGGAGATGGCTCCTCTGCTGGAGTCTCCAGAGTGTAGCCCAGTGATCCCCACATCCCGCTGCCTACCTACTCTGCAGGAAGAAGCCCTCGTGTCTTCCGGCCACCAGTACTAGGTGTCCGGCGACTGTAGTGGCAGCAGTAGGAAGCTAACAGACCTCCCCTCCATCAGGACATCCTACTGATTTCACAGTAAATGATAAGTACAATTAAAAGGCAAACATCTACCAAGACAAGGTAAACGGAGGAGGAAACCTCTTATCTAGAAATCCACTTTGCCTGACCTTCTCTTTTTCTGGGTCACGCCCCCAAATGCCTGCAGCAGCCAGCACTGGGCCAGGCTGAGGTCAGGAGCCCATCACCGCATCTGGGTCTCCCACACGGGTGGCAGGGACCCATGCAGCGGGACCCGCACACACAGCCTTTCTCTCCCCATTCTTTTCCTTTCAGCCCGCGGGTTTCTTTATATGAAAAGTGGACCTCTGTAGGTAGCACACAGCTGTGTGGTGCTTTGAGATCCGTGCCACCTTTTAGTTATTTTAATTTGAGAGACAAGGAGAGAAAGAGAGAGAGAGAGAGAGAGAGAGAGAGAGAGGCAGAGAGCTCCTGTCTGCTGGTTCGTTCCCCCAAACGCCCACAACAGCAGAGGGGCTGATGTCAGGAACCATGCGCTCAGTGAGGATCTTCCTGTGGATAGTGGAGACACAGGTGCTCCAGCCATCACCACTGCCTCCCAGGAGTTTGCATGAACCCAGACACTCTGATGGGGCTCCCTCACCAGAGCTTTAACCGCTAGACTACCTAGCCCCCTGCTTCCTTTTAAGTTAATGTAATATGTGCAAGCATTCTTTTTTTAATTTCCTCCATTGATTTTTTCACTATGCCTCTTCTTTGTCACGGGTAGTCACTTTAAGATCATTGTCTTCTCACGTTCTACCTTCAGATAATGCACCACTTCACATGGGGTGTAACACAGGAACCCTATAACCATAGTTGGGGCTCCCCACCCTGCGCTTTGAGCTGTGTTGTCTTACGTGTTATGTCCCCACAGTGATTTTTCTGTAGTTTTGCTTACGTGTCTTAAATGAAGTGATAGATTTCATCGCCTGAATCCCACAGTAATATTCCCAACACTCTCCGTTCCTTTGGGCGGAGCACTGGGGCACACGGGTAAGTGGTATTTGTTTTCAACCTGAAAAACTTCCTGTAACTTTTAAAATGCCATGTAATTCATTATTTCTAGGGTGGAAATCTACTAGCGAGCATTCTCAGGTTTCCTTTTTCTTGTAATGTGTCTGTTCCGTTTTTTGGTTTGGGGAGCTATTTTCTCTATCCGTAAATTTCCGGGGGCCAGGATGTGGTCTCATGGTTGATGCGCTGGGTAAGACACCCACACCTTACATCGGAGTACCTGGGTTTGTTTGCAACCCTCCCTGGCTCCTGCTCCAGCTTCCTGCTCATGCACACCCCGAGAGGCAGCGCGATGGCTCAAGCACTTGGGTCCCCGCCACCCACGTGAGAGACTTGGATTGAGGTCCCAGCTCTGGCTCTGGCTCTGGCTCTGGTCCAGCTCCAGCTCCAGCTGCTGTGGCCAGAGACCCAGAGACCGGGAGCTCTGTCTGTCCATCTCTCTCTCTCTCTCAATTACTTTTTATAAAAAAGAGTAAAAGAAGTCTTTGATCCTTGAGTTTATGATTTTATCTCAATCCAGAAAAAAAAATTGTCTTCCATTTTTGCTTCAAATACTTGTTCCTGAGAATTAGAGTCTATCTCAGTGGCACCTACGTTGGGTTGTTGATGTTGTTCCGAAGCTTGCGGAGGGCATTTGCTGTCTTTCAGCCACTCCCTCTTCTCTCTTTGATCTTCAGTAGTTTCCATTGCTCTATCGTTACATTCTCTGATCTTTTTTTCCAACATGCTTCACCTATAAAGCTCATTAATTGAACTTTTTTCATTTCAGATTTGTATTGTTTTCAGCGCTAGGTACATTCTTGTACCTTTCAACTAATTTTATACATGTTTTCATTTAAGTCTTTAATAGAGACAGGTCCTTCAAAAAGAAAATGTATATTATGAGAAAAACGCTATGCATGCATTGCAAAAATTTTTTGCCCTCATATCAACTAATTTTTTAATGTCATTCCCCACAAACTTCTGGGGGCACTTTTATTTCCTCTACTAACCCAATCAGCCCTGTCTTTTCTGGGTCTTCCCATCAGTGGTATAAGAAGTTATTTTTTGCCGGGTACTAGACGTAGTGTTGCTTGTCTAGATTACTGTAAGCAGCGGTGAATCTTGTTTTGCCAAGCAATTGAGTTCATCCCCATGAACCTGACCCTTTAACTGTGGAAGGCAAGTTCTCAAGTAGCGCTGGCTTGCTCCCGCCCCCAAGGCGTAACTCTTTCAGGTCCCTTTGGAAGGTCCTGGGGATTCAGCAGGGTCTCTTCCCTCTGACTGGACAGAAAGTCAGCGTCACCCATGCCAGGGGAGCTCCGTCATGGTCCAGTCCCCGTTGGATGCTTTCTGTCTAGCTCCTTGGAGATGCACCCTTTGCACGCGATCTGGAGCCCTCTGCCAAAGACTTAGAAGATGCCCTATACTGACTTCTGGCTCCTGCAGGTGCTCTCCCCAAACCCCCAGCTGCCTTGCTGTCTGATTTCTGTCCCCCTTGTCTGGGTTGGGAACATTCCCCTAGGCAGGAAGCCACAGTGAATACAGGGCTCCTCTCATTCCTTCTCTGCATGTCCGGCACCTTGAGCCTAGACTGCTGGTTGACCAAGATCCGAAAGTCTCGTGTGCAAGTGTTTTGTCCAGTGCTTGGATCCACGTGCAGTTTGCTAATGTCAAGTTGCACAATGTAGCTCCAAGTAAGGGAGTTTGGGGCCAGTGTGGATCTCCAGGGCAATCTCTGATCCCAGGAGATGAAAGTGTTGGATGGACGCTGGCTGGAGGTGAGAACACTCAGAACAGTTTTCTCACCGGAAATAGCGTGCAGTTTGTAGGGGTGGCCTTCAAGATAGAAAACAGGGTGTTGGCTTTACAGCCTGGCCACTGGCCAGTGACGGGCCTGCCTCAGCCTCTGGCCAGGGACGCTTTCATGACGAGGTGTGTCATTCTGTCCTACGAGTGGCACAAGGGACATGCGGCGTGGGAACCCAGAGACAAGTCAGCATCAGGCTGTAGAGGTCACGTGACGTTACACGCACAGGGCATGTGACATCACACAGGTCACGACATTACACACAAAGGTCATGTGACATTACACACAGGTCACAGGACATTGCATGCATGGTTCATGTGATACTACATGCACAGTTCATACATTCCACACACAGTTCATACATTCCACACACAGTTCATACATTCCACGCACAGTTCATACATTCATGCATAGTTCATGTGACACTGCGAGCACAGTTTGTATGTTACAGTTCATACATTGCATGCACAGCTGACACATCACACATAGTTCATACATTACACAGTTCATACATTACACACAGTTCATACATTGCATGTGCAGTTCATGTGATACTGCATACACAGTTCATACATTCCACACACAGTTCATATGATACTACGTGCACAGTTCATACATTGCATGCACAGTGCATACACTGCACACACAGTTCATACATTGCACACACTGTTCACATGACATTACACACACTGTTGATGAGACATTACACACATGTCATATGCCATCACATGCACATTTAATGCATTACACACAGTCCATGAAACATTACATACAGGTCACATGACTTTGTGCACACTGTCCATGTGATACTACATGCAGAGTGCATACACTGCAGGCACAGTTGACACCACAAGCCCAGCTGCTGAGGGCACCGTCTCGTCAGACTCTCTTCTCAACACCTGCCTACGGACCCCACCCCATGGGGACAGAGAACATTCTACGTCTGCACTCTGGTTTGAGTGTCGTCTCACGAGTGCCCGTGTTGGAGGCTTAGCCCCCAAGCTCACACGTTAATGGCGCTGGGAGAGGGGGACGTTAGATGAGGTGGTGGTGGGCGTCTCATCACAGCTCTGGAGGCTTCAAAGGAGGAAGAAGGAAGCCCCGGAGCTCACCAGATGACGTCCCCGCCCCATTCCAGCACAGCAGGAGGGCCTCAGGGCCGCCAGGCAACACCAGTGCTGTGCTCCTGAACAACCCTGAGCCAAGTGCACTTTTTTTCTCAATTACATTTTCTCAATTTGTAATTTTCCTAAATGACCTATTTTTCTGCATTACTTTGTTATATAACAGCAGAAGACAGATTAAGATCATGCATGCATGAATTCCTAGGAATATATTTAACATAAAATACTTTAGTTTGTGCAAAGTGGGATTAAAAGAAACATTTAGGGTGCCAGCACTGTGGCACAGCGGGTTAAGCCACCACTTGCAGTGCCAGCATCCCATAGGGTTGCCGGTTCAAGTCCCAGCTGCTCCACTTTTGATCCAGCTCTCTGCTGGTGCACCTGGGAAAGCAGTGGAAGATGGCCCAAGTAAGTCCTTGGGGCCTTGCACCCACGTGGGAGACCCAGATGAAGCTCCTGGCTCCTGGCTCTTGGTTTTGACCTGGCCCAACTCTGGTTGTTGCAACATTTGGTAAGTGAATCAGTAGGTGGAAGATATTTCTCTCTCTCTCTCTCTCTCTCTCTCTCTCTCTCTCTCCCATTCTCTGTGTCATTCTGCCTGTCAAATAAATAAATCTTTAAACTAAAAAAGAGATCTGTTTACTTTGGTACAAAATTTTTTTTGAAGTCCATGCATACAAAGGGTCTGTGAAAAGTTCATGAAAAATTATCTTATAAGAAACTGTGCCTGGATTTCAAATATTTTCACCAAAACAAACTTATATTTTATTTATTTGTTTATTATTTTCAAAGAGACAGAGGTAGAGAGAGATTCCATCCACCAGTTCACTCCCCAAATGGCATCAACAGTTGGGGGTGGGCCAGGCTGAAGCCAGGAGCCCAGAGCTCCATCCAGGCCTCCCATGTGGGTGGCAGGGGCCCAAGCACTTGCACCATCTTCCTCTGCCTCCCAGGCACATTAGCAGGGAGCTGGGTCGGAAGTGGAGCAGCAGCCGGGACTGCTGGTGCTCTCACGTGGGATGGGGGTGTCACAACCAATGTTTAACTACTGTGTCCCATACCTCGATTGTGTTAAGTTCCATTTCCTGTGAACTTTGTGAGATACCCTCAGAGATGCACATCCACCAACACACACACATGCACACACACACACATTCTCAGACCCACGTTACAAAGTTTTGCAGTAACAGCGACATTCATTGTTGGCTGACAGCATGGTTTTCTTAACACAGGAGTTTCAGCCCAAGGTGACCACCCACTGGTCTGTCTAGCCTAGTTCCCTGCTAGTATCCTGTCGGGGCCAGGGAGTAAACGCTTCCATTGCATATCGCTTTGCTGTTCCCTTTCCTGGTTTTTTTTTCCTGACTCCTTAGCTGTCTGTTTGACAACCATCAGAAGCTACATCCCTGCCCTTCTATTGCCCTCTTGTGACCATCTTCAGTACTGCAGGGCTGCCACTGGGAGTGGGGGGCTTGTTCTCCCAACCCCCACCCTCCTTCCTTCCTTTGCATCTTTTCCTAAGCAAATCTAGTCCTGTCCCACCAGGACTCTCAAACCATCTCGATTGTGAAAAAAAAAAAAAAGAAAAAAGGGCAGGCCGATGGTCTTACGCGACGTCCATTTCCTGAGCCTGCAACCCCGAGACTTAATATATTAAGGATTAATATGTTAAGCGGACTGCCTGGTCCCAGGTGCAGAACTTGCTATTGGTGTGCACACACCTGGGATGTGCTCCCACCCTGGGACAGCAGGATAGAGCATCCCAGCCCCAGAGACCCCCCAGCCCCCACTCCCGTTGGGAAGAGTGACCCACCGCTGTGGCACGCGTGGCTTGGGCACCAAACCTCGTGACCCAGCAGCTCAAAAGCAGCAGCAGATGTTCCCTAAGCAGCAATCTTTGCTAAGAGAACCACACACCTCGGGCTAGGGGTGCCGGCTCTGTCACCAAGCTGTCCGTCTGCCCCATCCACGACAGGATCCACTTGCCACGAGCGGTGCCGCAGTACCTGAGACATGGTGGGAGCAACCGAGGGACTCAAGTTGTCATTGCGTTGGGTGTGACTGCAAATGTGCCACTTTTATAATGCTTTTCCAGATTTATTGCAGGATGATTGGTGCAAATTGTACATAATTTAAGGCACACAATGGGATGACTCGGTGTAGGCATACGGTGAAGTGATGATGGCAGACTCACTCTCTCTACAAATTCCAAGTCAGCAATACAGCACTGCTAGCCACAAGCACCTGCTGTGGGTGAGATTCCAGAACTCACTCACCTTGCCTCTCAAAGCGTGGATCTTTTTATCAGCATCTGCGCATTTCCTGGAGCCCTGTCCCAGCCCCTGCTAACCATAGCCGTGGTTGTTGTAGGCACTTGGGGAATGAACCAGTGGATGGAAGATCTCTCTCTCTCTCTCTCTCTCTGCTTCTCCCTCTCTAGATATAACTCTGACTTTCAAAGAAATCAAATAAAATCTTCTAAAAAAGGCATAATGATAAAGACTGATGTATTTGACTTTAAAATCTCTGCATATAAAAACCACTTGGGGTAAAAATCTACTTAAAGACATAGACTAGAAATTTCTAATAGAGTTTACTATCTACCTATGAGGACATCTTACATGCCAAAACAGCCAATGTAGCCAATATACTGCTCTGATGTGTATATTTCTTTAGGACATAAAAAAAACATTTATACGTGTGTCTTGTACAAACACTTTTCCAGAAAATTCCATTCTTTGGAATTTCAGGTGATCCATGGCAGGCATGGTGTTTCAGCCATAAACAAACATCTTTTGATTGTGAACAAGCCCCATGAAATGGGAATCTGTCTATTGCAAAAGCGGCAGGAGAGGTGGAGACGTCGGGATTTGAATTTCCCTCAGCGGCAAAGCCTCTGCTGACACCCCCGTGTCTTCTCTTTCCAGCCTTGCTCACAGACGACCTCACGGATGCGATCATCTGTGCCAAGAAAATCGTGAAAGATACCCAGGGGATGAACTACTGGTAAGGATCTACCCATCATGGCGCCCGTGGGCATTGCCAGAATGTTTTCCAGTGATGAGTGGGAGGGTAGCCAACCCAGATTCAGCCTGGGCTGGGCGGGAACGGGCAGACAGGGAGAGTGTTGAGATAGGATGATGTACTTGCCATGTGAAGGGGCTCCTGACAGTGGACCAGGAGCTACTGTCTCATGTGGACCAGAAAAAGCCGGTCAAGTCCATAGACCAGATGGAAACCAAAGCTTCAGGTTGCCTTTGATTTTGCAGGGCGAGAGCAGCGTGTGTTGGGGGCAAAAGAACCCACAGCAGGGAGAGGACAATGAGCTTAGTTGTCACCTGGTGACAGCCCAGAGGACGTCCCAAGGATGAATTCCCCACCCCCCACCCCGTCTGGTTTGGTCATTGTGCACTTGGCCATCCACTTGGGGAACTTCCAGACATAAGATATCTGAAGAAACCATCCTGTCCTCACCAAAGTCGTTTCCCTCTTACTGAGGTTAATATCGATGGAGGGAAATCCAGGGAGGGGAACAGCTCAACACAGCCCAGGCATCCGTAGGGGTCAGTCCTGGACCTCTGGGCACAGCCAGTTATTGGGTGAAAGATGCATGGGCTGCAACCCACGCCTACTAGGATTCTCACGCTTCTTTCTGCTCTTGCTGCCTCTCTCTCTCTTCTCCCCAGGCAAGGCTGGAAGAAGCACTGTGAGGGCAAGGAGCTGTCTGAGTGGAAGAAAGGGTGTGAGGTTTCCTGACCCGGGACCCGGACCCACAGTGCCTGGCAGTGGGTCTCTGGGATGTGTGATGACTGGGCTGTCCTGGCTCCTTTCCTGCCCGTGTTCAAAACTCAGCTGTATTTTTAAGGGAATAAACATTTCCATTGAAAGGTCTTCGTCTGGACTCAGTCTCAGCTAGCACCTGCGAAGTCATCTCCCTCATGTCCCTGCCCTGGAAGGAATTAGCGGTCCTGCTCCCTGGGGGCACTGAAATGGCAGTTGGTTCAAAAAAGAACTCCCCTCAGCTCAACACTGCCTGGGAGAATGTTCCGGCCTCGCAGGGCCATCCTGATGAAAATTCTGATGGAACCAAAGAGAGGAAATTGCAGACGTGACAGCCCCCCAGAGAGTACCCCGGGGCTATCCCAAAACATCCACTGCAATGGACCCTAGCAAATTCAAAAGCCACACTTACTGTCCTCAAGAAAGCTGTTTTCAGCCTTAGATGTACAGAATGTATTAGCGTGCCCAGGAATTCAGAGACTCATCACAGCAGTGGGCTGAGATGCTCGGACCCCACAGAGATATTCCCAGGATGCCTTGTGCTCCACCCAGGGATGCTCGCTGCACTGGTCCACGTTACAGCTCTCCACTTTCCTGTCCACATGTCTCTGTCCTGCTGGGGCACAGTTGGTCGAAGCCACCTTGTTCCCAGTCCTGGCGCAAGCAGGAGACACGGGTGAAATGCAGTGTGACCATGAGGGGTGGGTGTTGGGCCTCGCAGGTGTGATATTGCGTCCCACGTGAGGGTACCAGGGTTTGAGTCCTGGCTCCACTTCCCATTCCAGCTTCCTGAGAAGCAGCAGGTGAGAGCTAAGTACTTGGGTCCTTGCCACCCATGTGAGAGACCCGGAATAAGTTCCTGGCTCCTGGCTTTGCCCCTGTTGTTGTGGGCATTTGGTGAGTAAACCAATGGATGGAAGAGCTCTCTCTCTCTCTTTCAGATAAAATGAATAGCTTAAAAAAGAGAGACTGCACTAAATTAAGAGTTGCTAGAGACATGGTGATACCAAGAAATAAGCTCCCCACTTAGAAGAAAATCTCCACTGTTGAGACTGTTGGCCACTATCTAGAAAATTCTTCAGCATTCTGTCCCTACTCTGTCTGACTTCACTGTTGGGTTCATTTTGGGCTCACAGGCTGGGCATGCATACATAGATACAAAGCAAAATCTTGATTGCTGCTTGCCAAATAAATAACTATGTTAAATACTTCTAGACAAACATATCGTCCTGGGACGAGAGCTTTGGGGACTTGTGCAAGAATTGAACAATAACTCTATGAGATGGCCAAAGAAAACAAGAAAAGCATGGATCCATTAGGCAGCGTTCAATCAATAATCTGTGCTTACAGAGGACCATAAAGAGACAGTTTCCATTACTAGGGGACAGTCATCCATCTGTCTTGCAGTCCCCACTCTGAGCCAGACCTCCTCCTTCATTGAAACCAGTGGCACCAAGTTAATGACCGTGGTTGGCGTGGACCTGGTGCCAGCCATTCAGAGACTGGGAGAAAGATTCTAAAAATTAAAAAAAAAAATCCCACTCCAAAAAAATTCAAGGTGATGGGAAGTTGGCTGGCCTTATAGTTTGATTGATCTTTTTTTTTTCAGAACTCATAAAATTCTAAGCATGCAATTCTACTATTTCCTTCCCTGAGTGTTTTATTTATTTAATATTTCTATAAATAATAAGGATAAAAATGCATTGTCCTGGGTCTTTTTCCACTATTAATGCCCTCAGAAATTCAAGAATTAAAGAGTACTTCTTAAAAAAAATTTGGGGACATTTATTTTATTTATTTGAAAGAGTTACAGAGAGAGGTAGAGACAGAGAGAAGTCTTCCATCTGCTGGTTCACTCCCCAAATGGCTGCAATGGCTGGAGCTGAGTCATATGAAGCCAGGAGCCAGGAGCTTCTTCCTGGTCTCCCACGTGGGTGCAGGAGCCCAAGGACCTGGGCCGTCTTCCATAGCAGAGAGCTGGGCCATAGCAGAGAGCTGGATCAGAAGTGGAGCAGCTGGGACTAGAACTGGCACCCATATGGGATGCTGGCACTGCAGGTTGCAGTTTTACATGCTATACCACAGCGCCAGCCCCAATTTCTCTTAATTTTTAAAAAAATTTATTGATTTAAGAGGTAGAGAGAAAGCGAGACCTCCAATCCTCTTTCAAATGTCCGCAGCAACCTGGGCTGGGCCAGCCAGTAGCCTGGAGCCAGGAACTCCATCCAGTTCTCCCACGTGTGAGACAGGAGACCTAATCATCCAAGCCATCAATCTGCCATCTCCCAGGTAGCAGGAAGCTAGAGACAGGAGTCAGAACAGGGAATTGAACCCAGGCCCTCCAGGGTGGGCAGCACTAGGCTGAATTCCCACTCTTGTTTTGTTTGTCTTTTCTCATCAGCAGGGCACTGGGTGCTCTGAACCCACAGTTGGCCATGAGGGTGCAGGAGTAAGTCTGTATGGGGCCCTCCTGTCTTGGAGGACTCAGCTCTGCCTGGCTCGTGGCCCCCCACCCCCACCTAGCATCCGTCCCATGACATCTCAGCTTGTTCCCCAAGATCCCTCAGCACTTTCAGGTCTGCTCTGCCCTGTGTGCCCCAGGCCGCCTGAGCCCCGTGCACGCTTCGTCCCTGGGCATCCTGGCTCCCGCTTTTCCCGGCTTTGGGAGCTCCTGCATGCTTGTGCTGTCAGTGATGCCCTGTGATGCTCTGGCCTCATAAGGCCTTTGCTCTGAGCTCACGGCTGCTGTGCACAGAGGATGAAGTCCCCGGGGACTGGGCTCAGCCCCCTCTCTGTCATCTCCTTGCATGTCAGTATTTTCCATGGTTGTTGTTGCCATGCTGAACAAGTCACAGCTGGCGGCCAGTCGCACTGGATGGTGACTGTTGGCACCGCTCGCCTGTGCGGTGGGGTCAAGGGAGTGGGAACAAGACCTTGTATTTAGAACAGCTTGTTTTCTTTTTTGTTGTTGTTGTTTGACAGGCAGAGTGGACAGTGAGAGGGAGAGACAGAGAGAAAGGTCTTCCTTTGCCGTTGGTTCACCCTCCAATGGCCACCGCGGCCCGCTGATCCAAAGGCAGGAGCCAGGTGCTTCTCCTGGTCTCCCATGGGGTGCAGGGCCCAAGCACTTGGGCCATCCTCCACTGCACTCCCTGGCCACAGCAGAGAGCTGTCCTGGAAGAGGGGCAACCGGGACAGAATCCAGCGCCCCGACCGGGACTAGAACCCGGTGTGCTGGCGCTGCAAGGCGGACGATTAGCCTAGTGAGCTGCGGCACCAGCACCGGCTAAACAGCTTGTTTTCAAATCAGGTTCCCACAAGTGCTTTGTAGCAACCTTAAGAACCAAGGGAATGTCAACTTAATTAGAAGCAAGTCACTGAAATACACAGGGGTAGCTGTCTCCTGGGGCCCACAGCATCCTGCTGCCAGTTAGCCAGCCTCAGAGGGGCCGGCGCTGTGGCAAGGTGGATTCAGCCGCCGTCTATACAATGCAGGCATCCCATATCGGAGCACTGGTTCCAGTCCCAGCTGCTCTGCTTCTGTTCCGACTCCCTGCTAATGCTCTTGGGAAAGCCATGGAGGATGACCCAAGTGCTTGGGTGCCTGCACCCATGTGGGAGACCAGGATGGAGTTCCAGGCTGCTGGCTTTGGCCTGGCCTGGATCTGGCTATTGTGAGCACTTGGGGAGTGAACCAATAGATGGAAGACCTCTCTCTCTCTCTCTCTCTGTGTGTGTGTGTGTGTGTGTGTGTGACTCTGCCTTTTACTTTTTCCTCTTTTATAAAGACTTATTTCATTTGAAAGGCAGAGTGACAGAGAGAGAGGGAGAAGCAGAGAGAAATTTTCTAACTGTGGGTTCACTCCCCCAGATGGCTACAGCCATCCCAAAGCCAAGAACCAGGAGCTTCATCTGGGACTCCCACATGGGTACAGCGGCCCAAGGACTTGGGCCATCTTCTACTGCTTTCCCAGGCCATAGCGGAGAGCTGGATCGGAAGTAGAGCAGCCAGGACTTGAACCGGTGCCCGTATGAGATACCAGCATTGAAGGCAGCAGCTTAACCCACTGCGCCACAGCGCCAGCTACTGTCACTCTGCCTTTCAAAGAAAGGATCCTAGGGACTCGGTGGAAGAACACTGGCCTTGTTCTTTTGGGGACAGGAAGCATCTGAGCCCCTCACGTGTGTTCAACACATCTACTTCCCTAAGTGCCCCAAAGACGGCACAAACCCTAGCTGGCCCCTAAACGACCTATGGGACAGTTTAATGCCCTCAGGATGAACTTGGGAAAAACAAACAAACAAACAAACACGGGACCGGTGCTGTGGTGTAGTGGGTAAAGCCGCCGCCTGCAGTGCCAGCATCCCATATGGGTGGCGGTTCGAGTACCGGCTGCTCCACTTCTAATCCAGCTCCCTACTAATGCACCTGGGAAAGCAGCAGAAAATGGCCCAAGTGCTTGGGCTCCTGCACCCATGTGGGAGATCTGGAGGAAGCTCCTGGCTCCTGGCTTGGATCGGCGTAGCTCCAGCCATTGTGGCCATCTGGGGAGTGAACCAGCAGATGGAAGACCTCTCTCTCTCTCTCTCTCTCTCTCCCGCTGCCTCTCTGTAACTCTGCCTTTGAAATAAATAAATAAATCTTAAAAAAAAGAGAGAGAGAGACTTCCTTAACAGTTGTAGATTGATTATTTGGTTGAAACACAGAAAGACAGAAAGAAACAGAGACAGAGGCAGCTTCCATCTGCTGCCTCACTTCCCCGATGTCTACAAAAACTGGACCCAGGCCAGGCTGGAACCAGGAGCCAGGAACTCCACCCAGGTCTCCCACATAGGTGGCAGGAGATCAAATACTTGAGCCATCACCTGCTGCCTCCCAGGTGCACGTTAGCAGGGAGCTGGAATCCGAGCTATTGCTCCATCCCAGGCACTCTGGTTTGGGAAGCGGACATTCTAAGCCGTATCTTAACCTGGCCCTGACCCGTTTATGTGTATTTATTTGAGAGGCTGACAGACAGATGCAGCTCCCATTGGCTCTGAATGCCCACATCAGCCAGGACTGGACCCTGTCAACATCCAGGAGCTAGGATCCCCACCCAAGTTTCCG